GCTGAATTTAATGACTTTAAAATTTATTACATTTGGATTTTGACTGCATCTTATATCCTTGAAAGGAATAGTAACAACTGAGGGTGGTTTAGCAAGACTAACTTAAAATAAAAAAGCTGTCCAAAGACATATGTCATATACAGATTCTATCCTATGTTTTTTTTTGTCTTCCTGCTCTGGGGGTTAAAACCATAAATAGATGAAGTAATTTATAAAAATGCAGGGCCAAGGATGGAGTTGTGGTGGAGTTGTGCAGAGCTGTACAGAAAGGAACTGGAGAGTATCTTATCATCAGGCCATAAGGTCATCAGGGGTTACAGTGCTGCAGTGACCTGTAGGACCCCCTTTCTCCAGGCCCAGTGCCAAGCGACGATACAAAAACCAGAAGTTTGGTTTTGGTGGAAAGAAGAAAGGCTCCAAGTGGAACACTCGTGAGAGCCATGATGATGTATCCAGCTTCCGGGCCAAGACAGCCCATGCCAAGGGCCCCAAGAGGCCTGGAAAGAAAGGAGCAAATGTAAGTGGTGGGGGTATGCAAATCAGGGTAGGCTCCATCTCCTCTCCCCGTAAACCCACTTTCCTCATCTGCCTCTTCTCACCCTGGGGCAGAAGATCAAGTGCTGTGTTGACCAGATGTGATTTTTTTTGTGTGTGTGTAGAAGAGACCTGGAAAACGAACGAGAGAGAAGATGAAGAGCAGAACCCGCTGAACAGCCTCTTTATACAAAGAACAAAGCAAAAGGCATGAAGCCTTGGAATTTCAAAGTACATTGGTTTCTTTTTGTTYAAAAAAAAAAAAAAATCAATGAAATGTATACTCTTGGACTGAAAGATTTGGAAGTGACTTTGCATATTAAATAATATTCCTATTTATTAATAATTTAGACTTTGAGCCTTTTTATTACTRTAGGTGAAGATTTAAACTCTGCCTCTCTCATTTTCTCTTTCCAGTCCTTCCAAATAATTATATCACAATCACTGGTTGTAAAGGGAGATGTGTTGTGATCACATTCCTGTTTTGGTTGTTCCTTGGTTATTGATCACCTAGACATTTTTCTCCTGCCTAATTTTCCTTCTGTGTTCTTAGTTCTGTCAGATGCTTTACCATTTTATCCACCTTCTGCTGCAGGTCTTGGCTCCACTACTTCTCAGATCCCACAGTTTCTTAGCTTACACCTCTTTTCATTCTGTATCATTTTCTGGTATCTTCTTAAGAAAAGGAGTATAAGAGGTAAACTTTATCTCCCCATGTTTCTGAATTACTTCTAATTTAGCTRGTAACACTTTTCCCTTAAAGTGTTGAAGATCCTCTTTGGATCTGGYRTCTCTTATTCTCACTTCCCTCTGGAAGGTTTTCTTCTCCCTGAAAATATGAAATTTTATGGTAACATGTCTTGCTGTGGGCATATTTTTGTTCTTTGATTAGAGWGTTTAGAACGATTCATATTTTTCCATTCTGCAAAATCCTACTAGGTAACTTCTCAAGTAGATGGCCATTTTTCTTTGTTCTGATTCTGGAATTTGTTAGTCAAATGTTGAACCTYTTCTAATTACTTGTAGGTTTGCATTTTGGGTCTAATTTGAAACATTTCTTTCTTTTTGTGTCATCATTTTATTGAATATTTATTTTAGCTTTCCTTTTGCCCCTGAAGGGTTATTCTCCAATTGATTCTTTTTATATCATTTTACATTTCTATAGTTGGAGTACCTTATCATGTCATAAATTATAGGTCAAGTTTTTTT